CATCCGCAGTTCTCACCACGTTTCTCTTGAAGGTTTTTTTCTTTTTGTGTGTGTGTGTGTAAACTATTCGAATTCCATTAAATAACCCGGAATTGCATGCACGTTCTTTGAATGCGAGTATAATTGGGAGGGAGAAAGAGAGAGAAAATAAAAATGTATAGTGTTTTCCCACCATTATGATTGCGGATTGAAGGCTAGAGGCTCAGCTAATCTCCGCGCAGCCTGCTGCCGTTTCGATCAGGTGTCACAATTCGCTGAGATGATGATGATGATTCGTTGTCGCTTCTGTTGTTTGTGTATCTCACACGCGCACTCGGATCTTATCACTGAATGTCCCTCTTTATGTTATGATACAACCGTTGTTGAACCGTATTTGAAACTGCTGCTTGAGGTCTTTCCGATCATCGTAGGTGTTACGAAACGGATGCGCGCGCTCTCTTGCTTTTATCGTGCAGCAGCAACAGCAGGATTCCTGACCTGCCCGGACCACGAGAGCAGGCGAACTGCGCGGATCCGAGCCGGGCCTTTCCTTCCAATCCATCCTTCTTCCATCCAAACCAACTTTGGGGCTACGTCGGCCGCGCTTGTGCTACGTGGCCGCTGCCCGACGATCCTGCATCCCGGACGAGGACGAACACACATATCTTCATCTCTTCCTCTACCATCATAACAACAACAACAACAGCTTCGTTTTGTACCATCATCATCATATTATTATCATCTTCCTCTTCGCTCGTATTATTATTATTTATCCTCGGCCCCTCGTAAACCATCATCAGTATCATCATCATCATGATCATGATAGTCGTAACCTTAGGAATTCGCATCCATCGTGAGCGAGATTGCATAACGCGCGCTCGAGCTTCGCAGAATCCGGCGAAAACAAAACAAATTCAACAATAACATTAATTGCGGATTCAAATTCAAGCATAATTCCGAGAAAATTCATTTTTTTTTCTCTCCTATCGTTTGTTCGCTTCCACTTGCATCCGGGTATTCAGTTTCCATAGAAACACAAGTAACCAATTTGACAAAATCCATAAAATTTAAAAATACATTTATTAGAATTATTGAAAAACAACGAAATTTTAAATCAAATATTTATATTCAATTGTCCTTAATTTTAATACTTGTTGTGTTTGTAATGCGATGCTTTATTTTGATGAAACTTTTTTGTGAGAAAATATCAATGTTTAGTAAAATGTACGAAGTTATCTTTTATCATTTTTTTTTTAATACTTTGTCGCAGTTGATTTGAGCATAGCAAAATTTCAAGTAGGAAACATTCTGTACATCAAATTTGTGGTATTTGCAATGACTCAAACAGACACACGCACACTTTTCAAACTCAATTTGCGTACGATATCAATCATCGCCTTTAATAATTCCAAGTAAACTATGCTTTGTTTACATTTGCAGTAAAATTACAATAACACAAAAAAAAATAGTTGTTATTGGAAAACGCGAATGCAAATAACAACTAATTGCTCGGACACGAGCGAAAACACTTGGAACGAAAGATGAAATGGAAATCCTTGACGAACGATTGCCGCAAATTGCGTTTTTGGCATATAATCTCTGTTTCCTTGAGAGGAAAACTGAAATATACATTATTATAACTACATTTGTTTTTTTTGTACAATTTTCAAAAATTTAAAGTTTTAGTTAAGCGAAATGAATTAACAATATAGAATTTGAATTAGTGATCAAATCAAATTTCTTCAGTTCTTCAATTTATTGTCATCTATTGTATAACTAATATGTATGTTAGGGCCATGACTTTCCTCGTAATTATTACGAATCATATTTAACGTATCCATCAAATATACAAACGGATACTTGTACGTGATTATTTAGAATAAGTTAGATTAAAAACGGTTGTGTTTTCTACAAGGATAAACCCTTACCTCCCACGCAGCCCCTTTTTGAAATGAACACATTTTTGTATTATATAATTTAGTTTTAGTCAAGGGACCGAATAGCTCCCTATTCGGTCCCTTGACTAAAACTAAGTCTTACTTGGGAGAGTCCAAAGAAGAGCACTTACTTCATAAACGCTAACTTAAGAGGAGAATGTTACTCTTAATTAAAATCCACGGTGTCCAAGGATTTCTTAATCCCGGGACACGACAGTTCAAAAAAAAAACTTTCAATTGATGTCTTTACATTAATTAACACACTGCACTCATTAACAATGATGCGCCGTGTTAGTTAACTAAATATTGGTAGTACGAACTAATTGGATTCGAGTAAAATGAAAAAAACAAGAAGCGAATCAGAACAATTAACAACTTTTACTTCCATTCGAATCTTGCCGATCGACAATTTCACCCAATTAAATATACTTCGCACTCTGTTTCTCGGATATCCTTCGAACTAGGACTAATTCGTTGTTTGTTTTGTTTTACTTTTCGATGTTCCATTCGACGTTCACGTCTCTTCTCGCAATGTGAAACTGCTTCTCCCACCGACAACACTTTCCCCATTCTCACTCTTCACGCACAAAAAAAAAATATTTGAAACGATTGTTTTACTTTCGTTTTACTTTTGTTTCTTATATTTAGGGAAAGCATTTTTTTCTCTACTTTCGTGCATCAAAGTAAATAGATGTTTCCATGGGAAGTTTCTTAGCAACGAGGAAGAAAAATTTGTTTTCCATTTTTAGCTTCGACGAAACGTCCGAGATCAAAGCGAAGCGACAAGAAAGGAATTTCAATATTTAAGACGCGTAACGTTACAAACTGCAAATAAGAGAAAACATTGAATATATTAACAATATTCTACGTTTACTTTCGAATCGAATTGACAAGGTGATTATTTTGTTTTGTTTTTTATTCCTTTTGTTTTTCATAACAGAACAAATGCAATGACCGATGATGTTGGGAATGTTATTCAAAGTTAAGCAAAGAGTTTTTCGGTGATATCGATATGCAGAAAAACGAAACGCAAACGTTACTTTTTTTTTGTAGTTAATAAATAAAACATGGTTTATCGTTCGCACGTGCAGCACGCATGGAACGAGAGGCGCATTCCTCGTGTTCTCTGAATTGTGAAACGTGCATTCTTCTGT